GGCTTCAACACGTCCGCGGGCCTCAACACGCTCAAGTGGGGCAACTCCCTGCGCGGCAAGGGCATCAACTACACGATCACGTCCGCGTCGAAGTCGCAGCTGAGCCTCGCGCTGACGCCCGGCTCCAAGTGGCGCCTCAACCCGGCGAACCTGCCGGGCAATTTGGTGCTCATGGCCGTCAACGCCGGCGCGGGCCTCGTGCCCGTGGGCCCCACGGAGATGAAGAAGGGCCGCGTCGTCGCCACCGTCTTCGAGAACCCGTCGATCGCGCCGAACCCGAACAAGGTCGTCTACCAGACGCACACGCACGAGCTCTGGATCACGGGCACGGGCTTCACGCGCGGCGCCTACTCGACGCGCGTCGACTTCGACCCGCCCCTCCTCTTCGGCGTCGACTACGTCATGATGGTCTTCAACCGGACGCACGCGCTCGTGTCCTTGATGGACGGCCGCAAGTGGGCGCCGGGCACGGGCATCCTGCGTGTCATCGGCATCGACACGGGCGCCGGCGCCTACAAGGACTTCAAGCCCGTCGCCGTCGCGCACGTCGCCGTCGACGCGGACGACCACCCGAGCGGCCTGACCGTGACGCGGACGGCGTCGCAGATCCTCTACCAGACCGCGGCGATCCGCAAGCTGCTCATCCAGGGCTCGAACTTCTGCGCGTCGCCCGAGCTCACGTTCCAGCCGCCCCTGGCGCTCAACAGCGACTACAAGATCACGCGCGCGCAGGCGGGCCAGCTCACGCTGAGCCTCCAGAAGCACAAGAAGTGGCGCTACGAGGCCGGGCCCCTCTACCTCACGGCGCTCAAGTGCGGCAGCGACGCCATCGAGCTCGCCTACGGCCAGGGCATCGTCGTGGCCACGGTCCTCGCGGACCCGACCATCGAGATGAGCGAGCGGAAGATCTACGCGACGCACACGAAGCGATTGATCGTCCAGGGCAGCGGCTTCAGCCTCGACGGCACGGAGCTCACGCTGCGGCCGACGAGCCGCGCGTCCTACGAGGTCGAGTCCGTGGAGATGGCCGAGATGGTGCTGCTGCTGAAGGACGGCAAGTCCTGGGCGCCGCTCGGCGAGTCGTCGAGCCCCGTGAGCGTCTACGTGACCAAGGTCGACACGGGCGCGGGCGAGGTCGTCATGGAGGACGACGGCGCCGTCATCGCCCGCGTCTACCCGGACCCGTCGGGCGCCGTCTGCGACGACTCCTGCGAGTGGGCCCTCGACGGCGTCTGCGACGACGGGAGCAGCCAGGGCCGGACGTGGTTCGACGACGACTACGGCGGCTTCTACGCCTACGACGACGACTACTACGGCGGCTACGGCTACTACTACTACGACGACGACGACGACTTCCTCGCGCCCGTCTGCGAGGCGGGCACGGACTGCACGGACTGCGGCGGCCTCGACCCCGAGGCGCCGAGCGGCGTCGACTGCTCGAACGCGTGCCAGTGGGCCAACGACGGCTACTGCGACGACACGCGGACGTCGGGGCTCTGCGACCTGGGCACGGACTGCCACGACTGCGGGCCCGCGTCCGAGGGCAACTTCACGACCTGGGACGACGACGGCTGGTGGGACGACGACGAGAACTACTGGGACGACGACTACGACTTCGAGAACTACGACGCGCTCGACGACGAGCCCCACGTCGCCTTCATCAAGTCCACGCCCAACCCGAAGACGAAGAAGAGCGACATGCAGGAGTCCAAGGGCGTCGGCGGCATCTTCATGATGCTCCTCGAGGGCGTCGTCGTCGGCATCGGCTGCGTCATGTGCGCCGTGGGCAGCTGGTTCGCGCACAAGTTCTACAAGGGCGACAAGCTCCCCTTCGAGCTCCTGGCGCCGCCGTCCGCCGAGGACGAGCTCGAGATGGCCAAGTCCGCCGGCCGCGCGGCCGTCCCCATCACGCCGGACGTCGCCTACACGGGCAAGTAGGCCGCCGCGCCAAAAAAAGCACCGCGCGCGCGCGCCCCACCGCCAGCGGCCGCGCCCCTCCCCCCGCGTCCTCCCCGCCCCCGCATGAAACTTCCGCTACCGAGGCACGACGCCCGCGGCTCGTCTTAGCGCCCCCAGCGGGGCCAGGCCGCGACGCGCGGCGGCCGCCGCGCCGCGACATCGGCCGCGTCGTGGTCGTAGAGGAAGACGGCGAGGACGTAGCGCCGGCCCCGCGTGATCGGCGCGGCCGCGTGGCGGAGCCGGCTCGCGAAGACGACGACCTCGCCGACGTCGGGCCGCACGACGCCGCCGGCCGCGGGCCGCGGCGGCGCGGCGCGCGTGAGCGGCGGCGCGAGCGCGTCGTTGGGCACGGCCGGCGGCGCGCGGCGCGCGGTGCCGTCCGCCGCCTCGAAGCGCGTGCCGCCACCGTCGTAGTCCCCCAGGCCGTTGAGCGCGACGGTCAGCGAGACGTGGGCCTGGTCCGCGTGGACGGGCAGGTCGACCTGGCCGCCCGCGGCGTCGTATTTCACGAGAAACGCGTCGTGCACGCGGAACCGCCGCGACTCCCCAAAGGTCCGCGCGGCGAGCGGCAGGAGCGCCGACGCCAGCAGCCCGTTGAACAGCGCCAGCGCCTCGCCGCCGAGGTCCGCCAGCGCGACGTCCGTCGTCGGCACGGCGCCGTGGCGGTCGTCGCGCCACGCGTCCGCAGCCTCGGCGAGCGCGACGAGCCGCGCGCAGTCGGCCGGTGGCGCGACGGGCGCGACGGTCGCGAAGACGAGGTCGTAGGACGGCTCCCGCATGAGCTTCCCCACGAGCGCGTCGCCCGCAAACTCGTCGGCGCCGACGCCGTGGGCCTCGGGCCGCCGCACGCCGTGCGCGACGAGCCACGACGCCTCGGCGACGCCCGGCGCGGTCTCCGGGACGTCGCCCGCGGCGCCCCCCGCGAGCGCCGCGGCGACGGCCGCGAGCGTGGCGCCGGCGACGCGCGGGTAGTAGGCGCCGCGCTTCGCGACCTCGCGGCGCAGCGCGCCGGCCGCGTCGAACGCGCCCGGGGAAGCCGGCGCGGTCGGTGCGGCGTGCGCGTCGTTGCACACGCAGCTCGCGAGCAACCCCTTCGCGAAGGCGCGGTACGCGTCGCCGTGGCGGCAGGCGCCTAAGCGGCAGACGCCCAGGCCGTAGGACGCCTCGGCGGCGACGCTCCGCGCCGTCGCGTGCGTCGCCGCGTGCGGCGCCGCGAGGTCCGCCGCGCGCGCGCACAAGGCGGCGCCCTCGTCGTGGCGCGCGAGCTTGCCGCAGGCGACGCCGTGGCAGCCGACGAGCGCCGCGCGCGCGACGGCGGCCCTCGCGCCACTCGTGGCGCCCAGCGCGTCGAGCGCCGCCTCGCCGCGGCGGCACGCGGCGACGGCGCGCGGCGCGTCGCCGCCGTCCAAGAGCGCGGACGCGAGCGCCGCGTGGAGCTCCGCGGCGCCGACGCGGTCCGCGCAGAGCTCCGCGGCCACCCGGAGCTCCGCCGCGGCGCCGAGCGCGTCGCCGCGCGCGCTCCGGCCCAGCGCGCGGCGCCGCGCGCGCTCGCACGCGTCGCCGTCGCGCGCCAAAGTCTGCGCGTCGACGAGGTGCGGGCCCCGGTCGCGCCGCGGGAACCGCGCGCGCTTCGTCCGCTGCCGCGCGAGCCGCAGGCGCCGCGCCGCGTCCGCCGCCGCCGTCGCCGCGGCGGCGGCCTCGGCGCGCGCCGCGGATCGCTTCGTCGTCGCGCTGGCGACGGTCTCGCCGTCGGAGTCGCCGCCGTCGACGGCCGCGACGCCGCAGAGCAGCTCGAGGTCGACGTCGTCGGGCTGCCAGGCCGTCGCCGCCGCGGCGACGACGGCCGGGTCCATTTGTGCGTCTTTGCTCAAAGCTAGTGGCAAATTGCAAGGCCCATCGCTTGCGGCAAGGAGGTTGTTGAGCTTCAACTTGAAGGGAGAGCAGCCCAGCATGAAAAAATATGGTGCAATGTTGGTGGTGCGTCGCGTGGGCAGTGAGTAGCGCCGCCGCCGCCGACTACGGCGTCTGCTGGACGCGCAACGGCGTCGTGTCGCTGAACGCGACGGCGCTCGAGGGCAAGCTCGCGGGCGTCTGGCTGTCGGCGACGCTCCTGCGCCGCGGCGACCCGGCGCTGCGCACCTGCCTCGTCACGGACGCGCCGGCGGCGCTCGCGCGGCGGGCGCTCGACGCGACGAGCGCGCGCGCCGGCGAGGCGCCGGGCCTCATCGGCCTCGTCGTGGCCGCGCGCGCGTGGTCCGTCAGGAGCGGCCGCGGCGGCCGCCACGACGACGCGCGCTGGGCCTCGGCCCGGAGCGCCCTCAGCCGCGTGGCGCCGAGCGACGCCCTCGCGCGCTTCGAGAGCCGCGCGGCGCGGCTCCTGTCCTTCCTCGCGCCGCCGTTCGACACGACGCTCTTCGTCGACGACGACACGGCCTTTTGCGGCGCCGGCGTCGGCGCGTTCCTCGGCGCGCTCCACGCGTCCGAGGACCTGCGGCGCGTCGACGTCTTCCTCACGAAGGAGAAGGAGACGCACGGCGACGCGCGCGGGCCCGAGCGCGCGCTGGGCGCGTCGCCGCGGTGCGCGCCGGCGTGCTCGCGGACCACCGCCGCGGCCATGGCGCCGCGCGACGCCGCGGCCTGCGTCGTCTGCCGCATGGCCGCGGCGATGACCCCGGGCCGCGGCGCCTGCCCGGGCCTCGACGTGGACGCGCGCTGGGCGCAGGCCAGGGCAGCACAAGAGAGCGAAATTCCCAACTTCAAAGGCTCCGATCTCGGCCACTCGTTTCGGCTGATTTTTGGACGAGCGATCATCTCTGGGAACGGCCTCGAAGCGTGGATGTTTTTCCCGTAACGCGCGCGCGCGGAACACTCACGTTGAAGCGACGTTGCATCACTCTTGTGCTGCCCAGGCGCAGGCGGGTGCCATGGTCGCGCGGCGGACGAACGGGACGCGCGCGTTCGTCGGCGACTGGCTCGACGGGTTCCTCAAGTACCACCTCTACCACCCGGGCTGGCACGGCGACGCCATCGACCCGTCGACGAAGCACCCGGACCGCGTCGCGGGCCGCGAGTTCGGGAGGGACCAGCCGCCGCTCGACAAGCTCCTCGCGGCCGCGTGCGCGGCGGGCGCCGCCCGCCGCGCCTGGACGCTCGGCAAGCTGCCGGCGGCCCTGAACGTGCGCAAGGCGAACGCGCAGCCCGTGCTCGTCTGGGGCAAGCACGTGACGCTCCACACGAAGCAGCTCACGACGAACGCGCGGCCCGTCGAGTCGCGCGGCCTATCGCTCGCCGCCGACGCGTGCCGCGTCGCCACGGCCGACGCGGCCTGGCGGCTCCTGGCCATGCCCGAGTCGACGGCGTCGCGGAACCTCGCCCAGCTGCCCTGCACGGCGACGGCGGACGGGCTCCTCGGCGCCGCGCCCTACGGGACCGCGGAGAAGGGCGCGCGCCTCGTCTGGAACATGGCGGCCGAGGTCGCGGACCTGCTCCGGGAGCGGCGGGGCGGGCGATGCGTCTGGGACGGGTAAGGGTAAGGTTGCGGCTCCGTTTTGCATGGTCGCTGTAGTGCGGCCTCGGCTGCTCCACTTGCTGCGCGCGCCGAGCCACTGGGTGCAACTCGGCGGCTCTGTTTCAACTTGAAGTGACTTGAAGAGGTTGATCAATGGTTTCGCCTGGCATGAGCATGCCAACACTCCGCGTCGCCGTCGGCAGCACGAACCCGGTCAAGGTCGCGAGCGTCAAGGCCGCCTTCGCCAAGAGCTTCGGCGCGGCCGTCGTCACGTCGAGCCACGACGTCGCCAGCGGCGTGAGCGACCAGCCCTACGGCGACCTGGAGACGCGCACGGGCGCCCTCGAGCGCGCGGCCGCCGCGCTCCGCGCGGACGCGGACGCGGACTACGCCGTGGGCCTCGAGGGCGGCGTCGTCGACGCGGCGCAGGGCGGCCTCGAGTCCGTCGCGTGGATGGCCGTGACGCGGCGCCGCGACGGCCGCCGCAACGTCGCGCGGACGGCGTCGTTCCTGCTGCCGCCGCGCGTGACGCGGCTGCTCCGCGGCGAGGAGCCCGGCTACGACAAGATGGAACTGGGCGACGCGGACGACGTCGTCTTCTCGGACGTGGGCAGCAAGCGCAAGGGCGGCGCCATCGCCAAGGTCACGCACGGCGCGCTCGACCGGAGCGGCTACTACGAGCACGCGCTGATCTGCGCGCTCGTGCCCTTCCTCCACGACGCGACGGGACTCTACGACGACGCGGAGCCGGCGACGGTGCGCAAGAAGCGGCGCTCGTCGGCGGCGGCGTCGCCGGCGAAGAAGCCGAAGCGGGAGGCCTACGTCGCCGCGAGCGCCTGGCCCGAGGTCGGCGAGCCGTGCCGCTTCCTCTCGGGCAGCACGTGGTTCGACGGCTTCGTCGTCGAGCGCAACGCGGAAGGCGGCGTCGACATGAAGTTCGCCGACAAGAAGTACAAGGGCTACCGCGAGCGCTACGTCGCCAGCGACGACCCCGCGGACTTCATCCGCGTCAAGGGCGCGTGCCTCTCGCCCACGCCCCACCTCGGGCCCAAGTCCGACGACGAGTGCGACGACGAGGACCAGGCCGCCGCCGCGCCGGCCGCGGCCGACGACGGGAAGTGCGCCGTGATGTAAAAGCGTACATTCCCCGCCGCTTTTACATTCCCCGCGCGACGGCGCAGTATTAGAAAAAGCCCTTCGCGTGCGCGTTGTCGCGGAAGCCCGCTCGTCGCAGCGTGTGGTTGTGGCGCGAGACGGCGTCCGGGTCGAGGTTGCCGCCCGTGAACTGGCTGTGGGCGGCCTTGCCGCGCGCCGTGCCGACGGCCGTCTTCGTCCCGTCGGCGCCGTAGACGACGCGCGACGCGCCCGCCTGCGCGCCCGACCGCCGCGGCGTCATCATGCGCAGGTAGCCGACGCGGCTCTCGAATGCGCCGACCAGCTTCGCGACCTCGCCGGCGTCGGCGACGGCCCGGTTCGCGTCCAGCTCCCAGCGGGCGGCGGCGAGGGCCTCCTCCCGCTGGCTCGCCGGCATGTCGCGGGCGACGCGGACCAGCGACCGGAACGCGCGCAGCGCCATGGTGATGTGTTAGAGTAGTTGTGTGGTGCGGCCTGGTCGCGGCGAAGACCTCGACGGCGGCGGCGGAGCTGTGCTGGAGATCGTTGCCACAGGCGCTGCCACAGCGGCGCCGCCGCGGGCGAGCTCCAGCGCCAGCTCCAGCAAGGACGCGGACCACGCCAGCGGCGTCGGCCGCTGCGGCGCCATGGTGAAGGTCAGCCCGACGTGGGTCTTCATGGTCGTCGCCTTCGCGGCGCTGGTCGTCGTGCACCACAGCAACACGCACGTGGGCCTCCTCGACGCGCGCGAGCGGCGCCACGCCGAGGAGGTGAAGCGGCTGCGCGCCATGATCGACCACGCGCAGCGCAGCGCGGACGCCGGCGGCGCGCCGGTCGCACCCGCGGACGCGCCGCCGCCGGCGCCGGCCGCCGCGGGCGACGCGGCCGCGCGGTGCGCGACGGCCGCGCCCGGCGCGCGCAAGGCCTGGCTCGCGGTCGGCCTGCCGACGGTGCCGCGGGCCGACGACGCCGACTACCTGCTCCAGACGCTCGCGTCCTTCGCCGCGGAGGTGCCGCGCGACGCGTCGGACCCGGCCCACGGGTCCGTCGTCGTCTTCGTCGTCAACACGCACGGCCCGGGCCACAAGAGATTCGACGAGGCGTCGCGGCTCTACGAGCGCGACGCGCAGTTCCGCTTCAGCGCGGCCGCGGAGGCCGCGCCGCCCAACGAGAAGCGCGACAGCGGCAGCGCGAACCGGCCGGGCTGGCGCGTGCGGAAGCAGACGCGCGACATCGTGAGCGTGCTGCGCGCCGCGGAGGGCGCCGCGGCCTACTTCCTCTTCGCCGAGGACGACATGAAGCTCTGCGGCCACGGCCTCTTCGCCGCCGAGTACGTCGTGCGGCGCGCGGAGCGCGCCTACCCGAACTTCATGGCCGTGCGCGCGTCCTTCGGAATGAACGGGAATAGCGCATTTCTCCGCCTACATGCTCGCGCACCAGGCGCGGCGGCCCCCGGACCACCTCGTCGTCGAGTGGTTCGCCGGCGAGACGGAGGAGAGCCGGGGCTACCGCGGCGACCGCCAGCATTTGGGGTTCCGGTGGAACTTCTTCGACCACATCGGCGCGCGGTCGACGCTGAGGGCGCAGACGAGCGGCAAGATGCCGGCGTGCTACGAGGAGCTCCTGGCGCCCGTCGTCTTCCCCGTGGAGGCCTACCACCCGAAGCGGTGCCCGAACCACGACTTCACGCCCTGCGGCAACCTCCGCACGCCCGCGCTCGACTTCGGCGCGATGCGCCGCTTCCGCGCGCGGTGACGGCGCGCGCCGGTAACATTGGACGTTTCGCGGGCGTGCTGGTCTTTCCTGGCATGGTGGCACGGAACAACTGCGCTATCGGTCCGCGTCGAGAGCTGCAACATGGGGTCAATGAGCCGATGATGCCTCCACGTGTTCGGCGCCGCCGGAGAGGTGGAGCAGCTTGCGCGCATCCACGGCGTCGCGACGCGCCCAACGCCACCGCGCGTCGCCGTAGCCGGGCGCCGCGGCAGTAGGAGCCTCTGAAAAAAACGCGCGCGCCGCAAAACACAAATCAGACAAAAAAACGCGGGCCGCGGGCCGCGCCGACGCCGCCGCGATGCCCATGAAGCGCACGAAGTCCTACGTCGACCTCTACCGGCGCACGTCGCCGGCGAAGCACGTGTCCCGCTTCGTCGCGTCGCTCGACGCGCGCCTCTGGTCCTACGCCGCCGGCGCGCTGGGCCTCGCGACGCTCACGGACGCGCTGCGCCACGTCGCGCGCCACGCGGTGCTGCTCCTCGCCGGCGCCGTCGGCACCGCCGCGTACCGCTACGGCCGCGACGGCCGCGGCGGCCGCGCGCGGCTCCGGGGATCCGCGCCGCCGCTGTCGGCGCTGCCGGGCGACGTGCTCTCCGTCGCCGTGGGGTACCTCGACGGCTGCGACCTGTTGCGGTGCGGCGAGGCGGGCCGCGCGCTGAGCCGCGTCTGCCTCGACGACCCCCGGCCCTGGGACATGCTCACGCGGGCCCTGCGCTCCTCCGCGCCCGCCGGCTGCGGCGCCGTCGCGCCGCGGCGCCGGGGCCACCGCCGCGCGTTCGCGTTCTTCGACGAGGCGACGTCCTTGGCCGAGCGGCTCGCGGCCGCGGCGCCGCCGGGGCGCGCGTGGCTCGCCATCGACGGCCGCGCCGTCGACGTGACGGACTTCGCGGACCAGCACCCCGGCGGCGGCGAGCTGCTCCTCGAGTTCGCGGGCAGGGACGCGAGCCACGCGTACGCCTCGTACCCGCACAGCTTCTTCGCGCGGGACCTGCTCGACCGCTTCGTCGCCTTCGACCCGAGCGCCGTCGTCGGCGTGCGGCGCCACGCGCGGCGCGGCAACGGCGACGGCGGCGCCGCGCTCGCGACGATGGCCAAGTTCGGCGTCGTCGCGGGCCGGCTCCGGCGGAGCGGCGCCGGCTAAAAAACGGTTACGTCGCGCGGGGAGTAGTGGGGACGCGGTAGTCCGCCTCCACGGAGCCGATGATGTCGAAGTGGTGTTCCGGTTGCCACTTCGAGACGGTACCCGGGGCCTTGTCAAAGACGACCGCGACGCGGTCGGGTTTGCCACCGTCCTCGACGAAGGTCCCGCACGCGCCGATGACGGTGCCGAGGTCACCGACGAAGATCGGGATGACACTAGCCTGGCTGTTGACTTTCGCCTTGACGCGGTCGTACTTCTTGCACCTGCTGTGGGTCACGAGGGGCGCGTGCTCGAGCTTGTTGCTGTCGCAGTCGCGGGCGGAGCCGGCGAAGTCGACGCGGAGCCAGCCGTCGTCGCGCTTCTCGGGGTCAAAGGCGAGGCCGACAATGACGCCCACACGGCCCCTGGTCGAACGCGCTCGGCTCGTGACCTTGTCCCCCTTGGCGAGAGACCGAACGTAGGGCGGGTAGGAGAGATCAAAGTACGAGAAGCTGTAACGCGGGCAGACGTCCTCGTCATCGATGTCGAATTCGACACAGACGCGCCTTCTGTCGTCGGAATTCCGGAATTTGGTGCCGGGTCCGACAACGACGGCGCGCATACCAGCCTTGATTTCTTTAAAATTCAGATTCGAGACGACGATTTCGCCCTTGGCGATGAGGCTCTGCTCGAGCAATGGCGCATGAACGAGCTCAGAGATGACGGAGCACTGGACCTCGCCGCCGATCGCGCCGACGGCGACGACGACCTTGCTCGAGTCGTCCGGGTCGAACCCTCTCCGCATGATTGTACCACGCGCGCCGCAGGCCGCGGCGCCGACCTCTTTCGTCAGGAGGACCTCGTCGCCGACGACGAAGCCGCTATTCGGGAAGACGTCGAGGCGGTGGCACTGGTGGCCCGGCGAGAACTGGAATTTCTTGCCGTCAAAGTTGATATCAACGCGGTACCCGACGTCCTTGTCCTTGACCGGGCGCATGAGCACCGTTCCGAGGTCGCCCCTTTTGACCTCGTTGAAGGAAATGCACGACATGACGAGGTCGCCGGGCCGGAAGTCGTAGACGAGGGGTAGCTCGAGGGCCGCCGCCGTCTCCTCGTCGGTCGCCTGCGACGTCGCCGGCGCCGCGGCCACCTGGTCCGGCGGCGCGGCCGGCGCGGCCGCGCCCGACTCGCCCGACGCCGCGGCCGCGGGCGCCGGGGTCGCGGCGCCCGGTCCGGGCCCGCCGAGGATGGCCTCGTGGAGGCGGACCTCGACGAGTCCGGCCGCCGCGAAGCGCTCCGCCGCCTCCGGGAAATGCACCACGGGCCGGGGCAGGCCGGCGACGATGCCGCGGGCCTTGGCGCAGCCGTAGGCGGCGAGCCGGTGCAGGCTGAACGCGACGTAGTCCGAGTTCGCGCGGAATCGCGCGTCGACGCCGTAGAGCCGCGCGAGCGTGTAGCGCCGGAGCTGCTTTAGCGAGCCGTCGCCGCTCCAGGCGGGGCACGCGGCGATGGCGGGGCCGCACCGCCCCAGGGAATCGTCCGTAAACAGCGGCTGGAACGCGAGCGCCTCGAGGAGGCGGTAGGAGAAGGGCACCTTCGCGCCGCGGCTTATAGAGCTCTTCGCGAAGCGGCCCGCGATGCTGTTCGGCCCCGCGCTCAGGTCCGGCGTGGCGTAGAGCGTGATGACGCAGAGCTGGCGCACCGCGAGCTGGTCCCGGAGCGCCTCGCGGGGGTCGGCGAGCAGCTTCATGTCCGCGGCGTGATCGTCGGCCTTCAGCGGTAGGGCGTGGAAGCGGTCGTGGCGCGCGAGGTAGGCGTCGACGTCGACGTCGCCGCGGAGCTGGTGCGTGCAGGCGAGGCAGGCGCTCGTCTTCTGGTACCCCGAGCTAAACGCCACACGCGAACGAAAGAGAGGGTTCACTCGATTCATGACTCGAAAGAAAGGCTCGACGGGCTTGGGGATACCGACTCGCGGATTGGGAACGAGGTACAGTCCCAGCTGCTCTTTCCGCCGGTTCCACGGATCGTCCGACGGCGTGTGGAGCAAAATCCCGCAGCAAAAGCACACCGCGGAGCACTCGTCAAAGACCTTGACGGAAATCCAACGGACTCCCTCCCGCGCCGCGCCGTCGTCGTTGGGGATCTGGAAGTCCCAGTCCTCAAACAACGCGCCGCATCGAGACAACGACTGACAGTCGACGCGATGGTCTTTCCACGCGGCCTTCTGGCAGTCGCGCGAGCAGAAGACGACGCCGAGGCAGCCGGAGCAGCGAGTCTCGGCGCCGGGCTTCCCGCACGCGGCGCAAGCCGCGAGGCGGTACGGGTCCGATAACGGCGCGGCCGAGGGCGGCGCGGCGACCGCGGTGCGTCTCGCGTCTACGAGCTCGCACCGACGTTCCGTCCGTCCGCGCGAGGGGATCTCGCCGCCGCTCTTCTTCTCTTCCGCAGATGTCTTCCTGCGGGGGATTCGGGGTCAAGCGGCGGTCGGGGATGGTGGGCGCGAATCAAGGGGTGGACGCAGGTGTGCGCATCATTTGACGTAACCGGTCGCTGATAAAATTAGGGAAGTCATCATCATCAGCCATCGTAAGCACTCGAGAGAGAGATGCCCGAGCCTGAGGCAATCTTACACGCAACCCACCCAGGCTACCTGTGAAGCGCACCTAGGCGCACGCCTCGTCGTCCTTGAGGCAGAGAGGTGCCAGGGGCGCGGGTATCGCGGGTCCCGAGCCTGAGGCAATTTTACGCGCCAAGGCCCCGCAGAGCGTCCACAGGCTACCTGTGAAGCGCGCCTAGGCGCACGCCTCGTCGTCCTTGAGGCAGTAGAGGTGCCAGGCGCCCGGGGCGAGCGTGTCCCCGAGGGAGACCGCGTGGCCGTCGGACGACGACGGCGCGCACGCGCGCGAGTTGTAGAGCCGCGTCGCGGAGCCGCCGGCCCAGCCGTCGAAGTCGAGGGACACGTCGTGGGCGCGCGTCTCGTTCGTGTTGACGACCGCGAGGATGGTCGAGCAGTTCAGGGCGCCGCGATCGGGCACGGCCCAGGCCCGCGCGCGGATCTCCGCGGGGAAGGCGCGGACGGCCGGGTGCTCGGTGCCGAAAGGCGTCGCGAGCGCCGGTCGCAGATAGGCGACGTGCTCCGCGAAGACGGCCTGCTGCTCCGCGAGCTGCCAGGCGTCGGAGGCCGTGCTTTCCCCGGGGTAGACCGGCCCGTCGTACTCCGCCTCCGTGTAGATGAAGTTCAGATCGCTATACATGCCCGCGTCGATCACGCCGAGCCACATGGACGCCAGGTGCGCGTCGGGCGTCCCCTTCCACGCGAAGGCCCCCGGGCAGTTGTAGACGGGCTCGAAGGCCGCGCCGTTTCGGAACCATCCGTCGCCCCCGACGCCGCCGGCCCAGGCGCCCGTGCCGGCGTGCGCCGCGAGCGTGCCCCCATAGTTCTCCTGCATCACGACGTCGAGGGACAACTGCAGGGCCGGCTGCGTCGCCACGGGCAGGACGCGGTCGCCGTCGTCCTGCTCCGACTTGAGCCAGCTCGGCGCCTGGTCCGTGAACATCCACGTGTTGCCGCAGTCCTACGGAAAGACGGTTTCGGGAGAGCGGCGCGCGTCAGCGGGGGGTCGACGCATGATAAAAACGTCCTCGGGTCAAAGTGAAGGTTTTGCCGGTCTGTCTTCATCGGCCGGAGCCGTGGATCAGGCCAAGCGCGGTGTGGTCTCGTCACCGGACGCGCGCGCGGGAAGAAAAGGGACGCCGGGCCACACCGAAGCGCCGATGGTCGGGTGGTAGGGGTCCACGTCCTTCATTACCGCGTAGACCTGGGCCTGGAGCGAGACGTCGTGGTTGTTCGAGCAGCAGTCGTCGCAGACGTAGTACCCCAACAACGCCGGATGCTCCCTCACCAATTCGACGCTCGCCCGCAACGCCTCGAGCTTGTCCGAATCGTCGAAGGGCCCGCCGTGGTTGATCGACACGTTGCCGCTGAGGATCGGGTAGATGACCTTGAAGCCCACGCGGTGCACGGCGTCGAGGAACGCGAGCTGGGCCTTCGGCGGGTGGGCCGAGAGGCCGTAGGGCATGCCCTGGTTGATGCCCTTGGGCGCGTTCTCGTAGACGATGACGTCCGCGAGCCGCTCGAGCGAGTCGTTCCAGGAGACGTTGCTCGTCGCCGCGACGTACCAGCCCTGGCCGATCCACGGGTCGCCGTCGACGAGCAGGCCCGCGCGCGCGTGGTCGACTTGGACGTAGCCGCCGGCGGTGGGGGGCACGGGCACGCGGTGGAAGCGGCGGCGCTTCGTAATTACGGTCTCGCCGAAGCTCAGGGTGACGATCATGTCGTTGTGGATCGGCTCCGCGGACAGCGCCGAGAAGTCGAGGTCGAGGACGACGTCGGCGTTGGCCTTGACGTCGTCCCAGCGCCACGACGCGCCGACGCAGGGCAGCTCCGCGGTCACGTTCAGAGCGTCGACGCCCGGAATCGACGACCGCACCAGGAGGTGGCCCGAAGCTTCGCCGACGTAGGGCCGCCGGTCCAGCGCGACGGAGACCTGCTCGGCGTAGGCGATTT